ATCATTTGATATCGCGCCGCCTCCCTGAAGTAATCTACCAAAATCATCCGAAGAATTATGGAAATCCAGGCAGCCTTCTGCGTTGCGTCTTAAGTACTCTGCCATCCGGGCCTCCGCACATAAGGGGTTTTTCTGAAAGTACCGCCCCCGCCCAGTAACAGTTAAGAATGGGGCTGTATATACATATACTGTACTCATTATCCGACTGTTACTGGGTGGGGGCAGTACCCAAGGTTTCCAAAATTATGGGTGCTATCCCAAGTACAGATAGCTTATAGTAGCAATAAACCTGTAGATAATTGGGATCCCTAAGACTTAAAGCCTGATCCCCAATCCCTAAACCCTATAATTAATAAACCCTAAACCCGAAACTTAAACCCTAAATCCAAGCCCCAAACCCCATAAGGGTAGGGATATACCTTGCTGCTAAGGAACTTCCGGTTTAAGGTATCGGGCTTAGGGTTGGGGCTCAGGGTTTAGGGCTCAATTAAGCTAACATTAAGAAGGGCACCACATTGATCATTACGTACACATTTTTTGTGGATTCACATGTCTATATTCTGGTAATTCCAGAACAGGCCAGGCAAAAGACCCTAAACCCAAATCCCTACATCATCTCCACTCCCATTGCACTTTCCATGTTGTTTTCCATTTGATTCTCCACTCTTTTCCCTGAACCCTATACATATCCAAATTTACCCCAATAGTTACATACATGTATACATGTAGACCCGGAGCAATCAGGAACTGCTAGGCAGACTGCAGCGATACCTAACTGAAACCCTCAACCCTAAACCCTAATCCCTAAACCCTTAAACCCTCAACCCTAAACCCTCAACCCTAAAGCCTAACCCTGAATCCCAAGCTGTAGGTGATGCCTCACGGAGTCGTTGTGCCCGCGACTCCAGAAAGCTGTCGACAAGCTCTCCTGCAGGAGCTCGGGGGTTTCAGGCTATGGGATATAAACCCGTTTAGGGTTTAGGGTTTAGGGTTTCAGGCTATGGGATATAAACCCTAGACTCTAAACCTTCTTGCGTTTGGGAATGTGAGGTCTTGGGGGCTACAGGGATTCAAAAGGTTAGAAGTATGGGCCCCTAACATGGGGTTCTAGGGACCCTTATGGGGGATATGGTAGTTATATAAGGATCCCAGGGTTCAGGCCCCATATTAGGGGCCCATGGTTTCAACCTTATAGGATTAGGGTTGTTCTTCTTAGGTCTTAGGAAGTTGGGAGGTTCAACTCCTTGGGCTCCTGGCACTGTAACCTTCGGCCTATGTACCGTAGTCTACGCTCCTTAAGGGGGGTTATATAGGGGACTATATAGGGAACTACTATAGGGCTGAATGAGGGGGATACTAGGAGTTTAGACTATAGCTCCTATGACCTGGGGGTTACTTGTTTGTCACAGCTTTGTGATTCGTGACCCCCAAAGCATCCCTGATATTCGAGTTGTGCTCCATCTTTTTGACAAAATCGCGACAGCCAGGGAGGATGCCAAGTTCGTCAGCTTGTCTCCTCACCTGTGACTGAGGGTTCTCGAATTAGGGGACCCTAAGGGGCGCGCACACAGCACCCTAAACCCTGAAACCTAAGTCCTAAACCATGCAATCCCCATATCCAGGGTCCTAGAAAGAGCCGAGGCTAGGGCCAGTAGGTGCAGTTCCCAAACAAAGTATTTGTGAATCATCTCATCTTTTTGAAGACGAGCCCAACAATTCTCTGCTCTACATAGGCCCACAACTCTACGACCTGGACCTTCATTCTCCAAGCCATAAACGGTAATTTCACGAACAGGGCGACCCCAACATGGACCTGAAATTACCTCAGTCCTTATCAGAGGGACCCCCCAAAAAAGGTACCCCTGATTGTAGGAAGCTTCCAAGTCGTTCCTGTTAGGGAGTACTGCCCCACCAGCGAATGCTCGGCATCCACACGCCCGCGGCTGAAGCCACGGTAGACGCCGCCCAGGCGCGCGAGCTCAACCTATGCGAGAAAAGCCTACACAAGCTTTGGGGCTTGGATTTGGGTCCTTCTCACCTGGTGCTTGTCTGATCAAGGGAAGAAACCTAGCTTCAGCCATGGGAAAGGACACCAAAAGACAGATTTCTTGAAAAGCCAAGTGCAGGAACGGCGGCCTCTTTTCCCCGCCTCCATCCACGCACATCTGCCCCCCTCCTCCTGCCCTCCCTCTCCCTCATTCTGTGCCTGCTTTCTTCCCTCCATCCCACTTACCCTGCTTCCGCCCTCCATCATGTATTTTGGTCGGCTTGCTGTCTCGACCATCCCGAGTTCGGCACCTCTTAAGTGTCAGGGCTGAACTATAGCTGCAGCTTTGCAGGAGCTACATTCTAGCATATATCTACACATGCACAGGGGCCCATGATATAGCCTGAGGATTAAGGCTTTCCTTAGAAACCCTAAGGGTCCAAGGACCCAAATAATAGGGTTTGAGGGCCCAAATACTATAATATTCATGGCATTTGGGACCTAAAGCCCCATTTTTTGGGTCCTTGGACCCTTAGGGAAAAAGCCTCGATGATGACTTCGAGCAGATCTGCTCCGAAGCGGTTGCTCGGCGAAAACGCCGTCGCCGGCGTCATGAAACCTGGAGGTTCCCCAGCAAGCAAGGTGAAGCGTTGAGGGTTATATGGGGGTTATATAGGTGATATATTGGGATAATGGAAAAGAAAATGGAAACCATTTAGGGTTTAGGTCTAAGCGTTTGGGTTTTGGGCTCAAGGGTTTAGAGGTCAAGGGTTTTTGGTTGAGCTTCAGGGGGGCTGATGGTGTTTAAAGGCTATATAAGGCTTAAACAAATCGGTAGTGATGTTGGTTTGTTTGACTTCCCCTCAACTCCGAAGCCAAGCACCTAATAGTTGGTAGTTTTCATCAATAAGAGGAGCCCACTATAGGCCCAACAATACTGTGTTACTTTAATCCTCTGAGGATCCCATAAAAATCACCTCACTTTGGGAAACCCTCAGTTCTTCTGCGGTGGCACACATGAAGCCAAGCACGGAAATAAATTAACTTCGGGAGCTGAGAGGCCGGTCCACAGGAAGTTGCCGAGGTTCTTGTTCCTGAGAGTTGTTTTAGGGCTCCTATTTGCCGAAGTAGGTAGCATCCAAAGACTATAGACTTCCGGACCCAAATAGGGTAATGTTCAGGTAGCACTAATCAACGGTGTGACAATAGCAGTTTGTTGCCGGCCCGGAAAAATCCCGGACAATCAAATTTGCTTTCTAACAAGTTCGGAGCCCGAAAATATACAATCAAGTCCAAATGGCAATAATAAAGTGGTGGCAATAATTTAATTGTCCGGCCGGAAACGTCCCGATTTTAATAGAATCCCTTCTACTTGTCCTACTAGTATTACGAGCTGCACTACCTGGTCCTACCCATGTCGCCGTCATTTATTGTTACGACCCCCCCCCCCTTCCGTAAGCCCAAATCGCAAAACAAGTCCTGGGGAGAAAGGGTTATTATTGTCACCAAAACATTATCCTTTTATAGACTTAATGCCCCAAGGATTCATTTACGAAACGTCAGCCCCCTTGCCTACATGTGTGAAAGGAAAAGAAAATCATGTAGAAAACCAGGCTAGCGTAACACAGGGCACAAGGCTGTAGATTCTAGAGCTTCGATTCAGTTGTGAGCTCCCTAGGCCAAAAACGAGTCTACACTTTACCATTATGAGAACATTGGACCCCGAAAACTACGAAAATGCTGGCCAATACCTCAACCCTGAAACCCACAGCCTAAACCCTAATGTTCTACAGTCAGACCCCAAGAGTGGGAAGTGCGCCCATGGTTTAGGGTTTGGGGGTTTAGGGTGTCAGATAGGGATCTACCTATTTGATTTATCAGAGCTAAACTCGCGCAGGGCAGGCCTAGCGTTTCCATTTGCTTAATGGTGGCCCGTAGGGAATAAGGGAACATACTATACAGGGATTGTATTCCCTTGTTCCCTTATAACCTTCCGTGAGTTTAGTGCAAGTTGTAAGGAATGAAAGAATGGAAACAAACGTGGAATTAAAGAATACACTAGGAGAAAAAGGGGCTACTACACTGATCCATTCTTCCATCCATGTCTCCTAACAAGCAACACGAAAATTGCTGCCTCCTGGTGAATTTTGGTCCCTGCTGGCTGTCGTACACAGAACTGAATAGCCTCCCACGGCAATGCCCGCTAACTTCAACCCACACTATGTGGGGGCCAAAGCCCTAAACGACGCAACCCGTACCTCCTAAACCCTAAACCCTTAATCCTATCTTACACAGCCTTGGCTTCAGCCTTGCTATATGCAGGGGTTTCCCAAAATAACGGGTACCTTTCTCCGGGTCCATGTAATATTGATTCTAGGATTTAGGGTCGGTTTTGAATTACCTCTACTTTAGGAAACTACGATGAAGGTATCTCATTGTCATCATGTTACATGCCACTTTGCACACCTAGTCTCTCCTGACTGTTGGTGAGTATGGAATGAGGGGATATACCCCCTACATTATGCCTACCTGACCTATAGTCTAGACTCCTTAAAGGGGGATTACGTAGGGGATTACATACAGGACTATTTAGACTAGGACTCGTGTAATCTATGCCCTTCCCACTAAGCACCAGTAAGCCTCTTGACCATACATCGTCCAAGCAAGTCTCACCTTCAATTCTAGTGTTGACCCTTATGCCGCGGTCGGATGAAATAGCTACGCAAGTGAAATGTATCGTACATAAGAATGCAAAACCTGGCAATCATAGAAAAGTAGCTTTCATTTCAACAGGCAAAAAACTGAATTATTGCAATTTCTGAATTTGGGCGAAGGCTTTAAGGGGTCAGGGCTGCACCCTACCCTACCCTAGAAGCCCAGTCACATATATATTGGGTTCCTGTCCTTAAGTCCCTATATAATTTTGTACTATCTGTAACCCAAGGACCTACTATATGGGTACCTGGGCTTCTAGGGCTAAGTCAGGGGTCTTTGTAACTTGCCTCTGAGGGACAGGGCAAGCAGCTCATGCATCATGAGCTCCACGTCCTGTGCATTAGCACAATGTGGGGCTATTGCTGGAGATATAGGGCCCAACAGCGGGTAACCAAATGGAAAAAGACATTGGTACATGAATCAAACTTTGGAACCAACAAGGATTCATAGGATTCGGAGCCTAAACAGTTACCCATAAAGCTTTGAGGTCTCTCTGAGGTACCCTATACCAGTATTGTACAAAGCATTTAGGAGCATAATATTGGTATGCATTTAAGCTTCGAAACTAAGCTAGTGTCAGCATTGATTAAGCAGCTCATGGGCACAGAGGCTCTTCTTTGTATTGACGCGTATGCTAAATGCCCAGTAGAAGCCCTTTGTGCACCCCTCCTGCGCACAGAATTGTTTTAATGACTGCAACTCAAACCTTGTCAGTCATCGACTGCAACCCAAATCCTATCAGCCGCCACAATGACGTTGTCGTGGACGTCGCACACACACACACACTACCTGCAACCCTGACACCCAAAGCCTACAATCGCACTGTTTAGGGTTCAGCGTCGAAATTTCAAGCTCTCAGCTTAAACCTTTAGACCAAAAAAACTGAACCCAAGCCCTCTGCATGCCTCTGAAAACCCTCAAACCCTTAAGCCTATCCATGCCTGTGCCACAGCGGCACAGCAGGCACCAGTTTTCTCCGACTGAAGGAGAGGACCTCAGTCTTCTGAAAGATACGACGGCAGTTGCAGTGCTTCCACAGTGTCAAACCCAAAGGGTCCATGTAG